ACAAATTTTTTTTTATGTAATTTAGTATGTACTGCATCAAAAAGTGAACGCAAACAAAATCACATTGTAAATAAATATACATCTACTTTTGGTAAGTGCAATGATAAAGTGCAGAACAATTACAACATCGGTGAAAGCTTATTCAAAAATTATTTCTTCTTTTGAATTTGTCACACCATAATATCTCAGGCTTAGAGCGAGTGACTTGGCAAAATTCAGTTTTTTTCATTTTGTGAAACTTTAATTCACAGAAGAAAACTCGAAAAAGAAAGCTCTTTTGATATTTTAAATGATTATAATTTTTTTTTGCTTTTTTAAATTTAAAAAATTTTTTTTTCCTTTTATTTTTCGAGAATACATATGCCAACGACACATCCAACAACAGCAACCCCCAGAGCTGTTTCTGTGCCAATAGATAATTATTATTATAAAGATCCGTTACAAAAGGATTTACCTCCAATACCTACTGAGGATACTAGTCAAGTAAATGTTTATGTAAACGAAACTCAAAGCCGCAGTACTCGTGGAGAACCTATTCACGGAGCATCGGACGAGTCTGCTGGTAGTATGGATGGTAGTAACAGTAACTCTCGTTATTCGACAGAAGACGAAAACGATCAAATCCATCCCGGCAATGAAAAACTAGATAACGTTGTCTTATCGCATGGATTGAATAAAGAGGTTCAAACAGAACGGAATGGTCCAACAATATTGAGAGATTCACCTATACCTTCAGAATTACCCTCGTATTCAGCGCCAGACGAAGAAATTGAAAATTCTTCAAGAAAAATCCCAGCTGTACCTCAACAACTCCAGCAATCTCCTACTCCTGTCATTACAACTTCAAACCCGAATGGAGAAACAGTTTCGAATAACACAACCACATCAGATACAAGTAATCATCATGCAAAAGTTAAACCCAAAAAAGTTTTGGGTAATTATACTTTAACAAAAACTTTAGGTGCTGGTTCTATGGGTAAAGTCAAATTAGCCGTGCATTCATTAACCGGTGATAAGGTGATTATTATTAAATTTAAATATCATGATAAATTGAAAGATAAAATTGTTATTTTGACATAAAAATTTAAATTGATTATATATATAATATATATATATATATATATAGAATATTAATTACTGGATAAAGATAATGCAGTTTTGAAATGATACGTAGAGAAAAATATATCAACATTTAAGTCTACTTTAATTTATTAAATCGATATTTTCTATTGATTAACTATAGTTGGCTGTAAAAATCATTCCACGTGTAACTTCATCTGACAAGCATGATGTAAAAGATAAAGACTCTTCCTCAAAAGATGATAACAAGGAAACTCGCACTATTCGCGAGGCATCGATAATGCTTTTGTTGCATCATCCTTACATAGTGCAACTTAAGGAAGTTATGGTATTACCACACTATTATTATATGTTTTTCGAATATGTTAATGGTGGTCAAATGTTGGATTATATTATCAGTCATGGAAAACTAAAAGAAAAGCATGCAAGAAAATTTGCCAGACAAATAGCAAGTTCTTTGGGTGAGTGTTTGAAATGATAGTCTATGTAATGGCTATACTAATTTCAAAAAAAAAAAATTGATGCAGTATTAATTGTGGTTAATTTCCTTATTTTATTTTATTTTTTTATTTATTTGAAAAATAATTATGCCAATATTGCAAGTTTTACTTCAAGACGTTTTCTTCTTTTCATAACATCGATACATTCGCTTTTTCTTTTTTTTTTGACTATAAATATTAGATTATTGTCACAGAAATTCCATTGTGCATCGAGGTTTGTCATTTAAATAATTTTTTTTTATTATCATTTATATTCCATCAGTTATTTATGTGATTTATTTTATAGATTTGAAAATCGAAAATATTCTCATCTCTAAGAACGGTTCAATTAAAATAATTGACTTTGGACTATCAAATTTATATTCGCCGCGATCTCATCTTTCTACATTTTGTGGCTCACTGTATTTTGCGGCCCCTGAATTACTAAATGCGAAATTGTATACCGGACCGGAGGTGGACGTATGGAGTTTTGGAATCGTTCTTTACGTGCTTGTATGCGGTAAAGTACCTTTTGATGATCAAAGTATGCCTGCTTTGCATGCTAAAATTAAGAGGGGAGTTGTTGAATACCCTGGATGGTTGAGTAGCGGTAAGGAAACTTTTGTTTTATTTTATTATATCTCGTCCGTTTTAAGAGAGTTTATGTTCATGAATTATACTTTAATCAAGATTGCAAGCACCTCCTTTCACGTATGCTTGTTACCAATCCAATGCACCGAGCTTCTCTTGCCGAAGTGATGAGCCATCCTTGGTTGAATAAAGGATATGATGGACCGCCAGAAAATTACTTACCAATACGTTCACCTCTTTCCCTACCGCTGGAACCTGAAGTTATTCACGGCATGTCAGGTTTTGAATTTGGTACTGAACAAGAAATTAAATCACGCCTTGAAAATATAATCAAAAGTGATTCTTATCAAAGTTCAATAAAGGCTCAACAGTATTTTAGTGGTTTATCTGACAGGAAAAAGAGTGGAAGTTTTGATTATTATCGTAGAAAATTATCAGGCTCGAGTAGTTCAATTCACGAAGATAAAACTATAACAGCTGATCCTACTCAAGCAGTTCATCCATTAATCTCAATTTATTACCTTGTCAGAGAAAAAATTGAAAGAGATCGTTTAATACAGCAAGGTGGACTTCCTCAATTTGGCTCATCATCATCGCTTACTGAAACAAATAATATGCACATTCCTCATATTCCGGTACCTGATCCTTCGCATCCAAGTGATACTGGCTTCGATGTTAATATGCACGGTACAGCACCACTTGTAACAAATGCAAATACGCCGCCGGTTATAAGACGTGCAACAGTTCCTTCTGGAACTAGGCCTCGTGCAAGAACGAGTGGTGAGAGTGATTTGCTAAATATAGTAACTGTTCCACCTGTAGTGGATGAGGGAGGAATTCCCGAAGAAACTATGGATGAAGTTAGTGGTGAGTTAAATTATGGTCGGAAAAGCAATGAACAATCAGCGAATAATAGTATTACAAGTCCAGGTGGTGGACTAATAAGACGCTTGAGTTTAGCGATAGTGGGGCTGCCGCGAGATTCTATTTCACCACCTATTTCACCGGTTTCAACTAGCCCCACTACCCCAAGAGGTCCGCCTGAACATCGACGTCATGGCTCAGGTCCTAAAAGAGAAGGTTCCGGCCATTTCACTAGGATTTCCACTTTATTATCTAGGGCAACTTCTGGTTCTGAAGTGGATTATAAGCGACATCGTCAGAGAAGTTCAGTTGGTAATACTAGAGCAACTCAAAATAACGCTGGAGCTCCTCCTGGTACCAAAGTTCCCGTAGGTGCTTTGCCACAATTAAACGATCAATCACCGAAATCAGATAGAGCTAACTTTCATCCAAGCTCTATTACTTCATCTACAAACGCAAGTAGAACATCTCATCATCGTAGCTCTTCGAGTACAGCCCAAATGTCCATAAGCTTACCAAAACAAAGTTCACAAATTCCAAATAATGATTTCAATTTTCCTCCTTCTTCTTCTCCACACACTCCTTTACCTGGAGGTACGGCTGATTCTTGGATTAGACCAGTATATCTTAAAGGTTTGTTTAGTGTAGCAACAACTTCAACAAAACCTCCATCAATTATACGTCAGGATTTAATAAGGGTGCTTGACCGCATTGGTGTTAAATGGCGAGAAGGCAGAGGAGGATTTGAATGTGTTCATATACCAAGCATTGATTTAAAATCCATAGTTACTAACTATGGAGGAAAAGGTGATCCATATGCAGTATCGTACGGCATTGCAAATCATCATCACGCACATTTTAATCGGCATGAACGTAGAGGGAGTCATTCATCTGGTAATTCTGCAGCGTCATCGTCGTCTTCAACTTCATATAAAGATAGTTACGCACAAGGTCAGGATCTTCATTTTTCGGCAGATGGTGAAGTTCGCCTTTCATTATCACCCCCAGTTAGCGGGGGTTTTGTAGGTAACCAACATGGTAGCTATAGTAGTGGTAGTGTTCCTTCTTCAACTACAACTGCAAACGTTACGGATTTGGTTGTAAGATTTGAGATATTTATTGTTAAAGTTCCATTATTACTTGGAGTACATGGTTTGCAATTTCGTAGAGTTGCTGGTGATCCATGGCAATACAAAAATATGTGTTCGAAGATTTTAGGAGAATTAAAATTGTGACCCGGACAGGAAGTACATACAAAAAAAAAAATTTATTTAGATCAATTAAATGCGGTAATTTAGAATTCATGACCGCATATTTTTATCTTAATTATTTATACCAATTTTGGTTTCAATTGTAAATGTGTAACAAAAATATTTGGTTGTAGATATTGGTTTTTTTTTTCATTTGTCGTATAACATAATTTCTTCTTTATTACATATCTTTTTTTTTTGTCGTATTTATTTTACGTTGTTGATGTGTATTTCTTTATTCCTTGAATGATTTATTTTATATGTAAAAAATTTTTTTGAATTATATTGTATAATTAACTTTCTGTGATGGCAGTAATTATATAATGAAAATAAATCATCGGATATTTAATCGTCTCCTCAGTAAAAACTGTTTATCCAAGTTCTTGGTACTTAAAAATCAATGTTAATCAATGTGGAAAGTAGATCTAACTCAAAAGTATTACAAAAAATCTTTTTGAAATTGATTAATGTGGTATCTTACATAAGGATACTATATAGAATAGGTATAAAGTCGCGTTCGCGTTTATGCAACCTCTGATCAAAAAAAAAAAAAAAAAAAAAAATAGTTTGCTTTTCGCGTCTTTTTACTTATCTTCCCGTAATATATTTTTTTTTTTTTTTTTTTTTTTTTTTTTTTTAAAAAAAAAAATTATCTTGCTTAAGGATTAATAATAAGGTTCACCTGTTACATATTAAAATTTGTAAAGACAGAGATATTTTACCAAAACTTATTAATATGCAACAGCAATACACACAAAAAATAGACCTATCAAATACTCCTACTATGGAGGAAGTGTTAAATGGTCGTCATCGCTTGGGACAAAGAACCTTTTTTAGCTCAGATAATATTTTACGAGAAAACCCCTCTTCTAATAAGAGAGAGAAAATTTACAGAGAACCGCGTTTATCTACGCAACAATTAACACTACAAACTTTTCAGTGGTTGTCTCCAGAGATATCTCAAGAGCATCGACCCGGGGAAAATTTCATTAAATTTGAAAATGGTATTTAATATTCTTAAATGAGAGTTTTTTTTTTTTTTCTTTTTTTTTTTCTTTTACTATCGTACAACATCAATTGAATCATTATTAGAGCCATCAATTATATCAATGGATGAAATCTATAAGAGTAGTGATAGTCGAAATAATGTCGATGATTTATCGAAGAAATTATATACAGTTCCTTATTCATTTCATCATAATACACTTCCTGAAGAACATCAATTTTCCGAGAATCAATTTCCGTGTTTGGAAAATGATATACAATCGACATTATGTATCGATGAAAGTGACGTTGCGGATATATCCAAGGTAAAAATATAAAATCAAACGTGGTATTATAAAAAAAAAAGTGGAGATTAATGAGAATTTGATGCGTTGACATGTAATAATATATTACATTCACATTATATAATAAACTAACTTGTGAATTTGGTCACATCATATGGAATTTCTTAATTAATAAATTATTCTTTTTTTTATAGGAACATATGACAACCACCTTTCCTATTTCAATTAATGAAAGAAACACAGAAAGCAAAGTATTAGCAAATAATATCAAACTTACGAATAAAACTGGCATATTTGATTCTGAATATCGAATCAAGAAGGAAAAAATTACCGAGAAACAACAACGAAGCGTCAAAGAAAGCTTAGCCGCGGAGAGTTTGATGACATTGCAAATTTCAAAAGATGATGATGATTTTTTATCATCTTCCAAAGATCAAATGAAGAAAAATAAACAAAACAAGAAAAGAGTACAGAATCAGATTGATAAGGAGAATGATCAAAATTTTAATGCGAAAAGTACTATTAATGATCAAATCCTTTACGATATGATCGTTCGAAGTGGACTGACAATGGAAAATGTTTTGAAATTTAAGGAAGATCATTATAAAAATTCAAAGGTAAATCTAAAATTAGCACAATTTTGAATATTCCCATTGCTTATATAAAATTCACCATAATAATAATTCTTTAAAAGAATGATATAAGAACTACAGTATTACAGCCAGCTATGATTCCTTTGCAAAATCAACCATCCACAACAGTTAACATTCCAGTTCAATTACAAGAACCAGTTCCTGTACCAAATCCATTTCAAAGTCCTGCACAAATCGTTAATTCAATGCAGGTTGTTAAATTACCAAAAGCAAAACCTGCCAATATGTCAGGCTACAGGACAAGACCCGTACCAATTTTACCAGCGACAAACTTACCTTATCATCATCCATATTTAATTCAAGGCGAGATAGGAATAAATACGGAAATGAATGGTATTTTACTAGAAAAGCCTCAACGACCAAGTTATTCTTATGCTTCTATGATAGGTCAAGCCATAATGGCATCGGAAGAGAAAAAGCTTGCATTAGCTGATATTTACTCCTGGATATCGAAAACTTATCCTTATTATAAAATGAGTGACATCGGTTGGAAAGTGAGTTATTGTTTTTTTATCATCATTCATTATTTTCTTTGTTCTAATCTATGATGGTTTTACAAATCAAAATATCAAATTATAGAATTCTATACGCCATAATCTATCGTTATATTCAGCGTTTATAAGAGTTCCCAATGAAGGCACAACGCGATCTCTTTGGATGATAAACCCTGATGAAGAACAATGTTTCATCAACGGCGTCTACCATTACTCAAAAGTAAGCATAAAGTATTTAATTCAAAATTAATTGAGCTTGAAATACAAATTTTATATATATATTATATATTTTTTTTTGAAACGCATTTTTAATGACGTTACTAGAGACCACCAGGTAGTAACAAGAGCTTGCGGAGAAAATATAAATCTGCACCAAAACCTATTAATGACAATTCAAATAATGTAAATAATGTGCAAACCGAAATATCACAAGTTCCTGCTTATCTTACAACGAATGATACCATTATGCCGATGGTTACATCTCTTCCTTATTGTTCGATGCATCCAGAAGCTCAATATTTTTCGACTTACGAATTACCTAAAGGTGAAGCTTCATCTGAACAAAGTTACAGTACTATCACATCAGATTAAAATGTTAATTTTTGTATTTTCATTTGGAATTGTTATTTGGAAATATTAGCAGAGATTGTATAATTTGTATTGGTTTCTTATATGAAATTAAATCAAAGTGTTTTAGAACTTAATTTTTTATAAATAAGCTTAATGAATCTTAAATATTGTATATTTCGGTGGTCATATGATTGATTCCTGTTTGTTAAAAGCGATTTAAATTTTTTTTTTTCCGTGCACTTTATATTGAAATTATTATGAGATTAATCTTTTACTAATTTTCAAATAATTATTAGATCAAATTGAAAAATTTTATTAAGAATAAATGTATCTTTAATCATCTATTCCGAGTTATTAGAACTATCCCGAAAATTTATGCAGTCACGTGACAATTATGCCGAGCTTTATTTAACACAGTAATTTTCCACCACACGTGACCGGTGACATTTAAGGGGGTGAAACAAAAATTTTTTAGTGGGTGAAAAATTTCAGAATACATAGTAAAAATGAAATCAGGGAGGCGTAACGCGGCGTGACAAATAGTGCATATCACGGGAGGTGGAAAATCTTGAGGCGACGAAAAAAAAAATTTTTTTTTAGAATAACTTTTAACAATCATATATTTTCTGTAATTTTACATACTTTACAATGATTTTGTACATCTAAGTAAACTTGCTAAGAAATAAAAAATACATATAATTTATAAATTTCAAAGTTAGGCCTAACTAAAGCTCTGCATGAGCTGGCTCGAGCTGGCAGCTCGAACTGAGCCAATTTATTTTGGCTCATGAGCCAGCTTGGCTCAAGTATAAAATGTGATAAGCTGAACCAGCTCGCAAGTCATATAAGCCAGCTCGTAAGGCTTAAATTATTAATAAAATCTGAAAAAAAAATTTTTGAAATAATTGAAAAGTTCTGAAAAAATGATTTTCTTCAAGTAAATCATCTTCAAAATAACTTCCTTCAATAAAAACGTCTCTGAATGATTCTTTTGAAAAGAAAATGCTTCTGGAATGTTTCTTATAAATCAAATCACTTTCAGAATATTTTTCTTTAAAAAATATATTTTCTGAAATAATTTCTTTTAAGAGTTTCATTTTCAGAGTAATTTCTATTAAAAAATTTGATTCTGTAGTAATTTCTTTTAAGAGTTTTACTTTTAGAGTGATTTTTATTAAGAAATTCACTTCTATAGTGAATTCTTTTAAGAATTTCACTTTTGAAGTATTATTTTTGAAATAAAACTCTTCTACTGTTGTAACGTATCTTTAAAGAACATACTTCTAGAGTATTTTTTAAAATAATATACTTCTACTATAGCGTATTTTTAAAAGAAAATACTTCTGAAATGTTATTTTTAAAGTAAAGATTTCTAGAGCATTATTTTCAAAGAAAATCACTTTCTAGAGCAATTTCTTTAAAAAAAATCACTTCTGTAATGTATCTTTAAAAGATATACTTCCAGATCGTTATCTTTGAAAAAAATGCTTTTGGAGTATTTACTAAATGTGAATTGACTTATAGATAGAGCAGGATACAAAATTTATATTTATTTAAGTTATATAATGAATCAAATTTAATTTATTTGCAAAAAAATAATT